GAAAAGCTGAGGCTTCTTGCATGGGGTTTGAGTGGGCTCAGGCTCAGGGCTTCGGGGTTTAGGGTTTGGACTGGAGTTCGGCTTAGCAGTGTTCTGCCTACGCTGAGCAATGGAATTTAAGGATCCAAGCTTAAGCTAAGGTTTGGGGCTTGGGGCTTTTAGAAACTATCCCGCAACGAAAACCTGTATGAACCCCGTAATCCAGCCCAGAGAAGCCCTGCAAAATCCTAGCAGCGAAGAAGGGAACCAAACATAAACGCCTAAAGGTGATGTTCCTACGACCAAGGGCTGGCTCAATACTTTAAGTTTGGCACTCTTTGGCGGAAAGCTGCGACTCCTATTGCTATGAATACTGCTAAGACAAACTGCTGCTGCTGCTGCTGCCCTAAACCTTAGACCGCCTACTTCTGCGGTTGATGCTGCAGCTGGGCATGAGTTTACGCAGGGAGCTTCAGGGCCGGGCTTAGCAGTCTAAGTAATTCTAAGGTTCTTGGTGCTTTGGGAGGGTTCAGGAAGCTTGAGCCCCGATTCCTGCTTCGCATCCGAGCGGCCCAAGGTCACCCACCGAAGACGCTCCACGACTGATGAAGCCTCCCATGGGATTGTGGTGTCGATAGCACACAACCACTAGTTTCATCATTCAACCCTTATCTTAGCTCCCGACCCCTGCCCTGCAGGTCACGGTCCTGACAGTCCGTTTTGTTTGAATGGGAGTTGGACACATGTCCGGGTAGATTTTAGCCCAAAGCCCTAAATCGATGTTGTAATGCCCTGAAGGCCTGACCCCAAACTTTTGAAGCACACCACCGTACAAAACCCTAAGCTGTACTCTAAACCATTTACCCGTAACTCCTAAGCCCCTGAACGCCACCTCCTCATGTTTCGAAGGCATCTGCACAAAGCCTTTCAGAGCTTCTCGGAGGCGACCGGCACCCTGCTCCTGAGCCGGGTCTCTTGAGCCTTCTTGTTGATGTCTTTAAGGTGCCTTATAAGAAGGTAGGGGTTGGAGCCGTGTCCTTGAGACAACTTGCAGCTGGCCTCGAAGTGTTTTGAAGTGGTGAGGAAAGAGCCGTCTATCCCTATCCGCTTCTGGATAGTCCCCATGTAGCGCAATATCACGAAAATAACCAGAGGAGCAATCATTTTTTTGACTGGAAACTCAGCAAAGCCGTACAACACCTAAGCCCTAGGCCCTAAGACAAATCCGCGACAACTGACATCAAGCAGCCTCCCGACTATGCGGCTTCAAACACCGTTGGCAAAACCGACAGCGCCAGTCGTGCCGCTGGTCTATGCAACGAGGAGCAATGCAAACATGATGGCACACCTGTCATTTGTGACTCCCTATTTCTGTCATTTGTGACTCCCTACGTTCCTGGCTCTTGGCCAGGTAAATCCCCGTCATTTGTGACTCCCTCCGCCTGGCATCACCACACATCACCTCACCCGAAAGTGTTCTTATTCATTGGCAGACCTGTGATTTCTTCTCAAACAAGCGCCTGTCATCTGTGACTCCCGACCCTTTTGCCTTGCTTTTCAATGTTATTTTCACACAGCAACACGGGTCATCTGTGACTCCCCGCTTTTTCTTGCTCTGGCCATCTGTGACTCCCTACTTTTTCTTGTTTTGGACAGGTTTTCCTTTTCGGTCGAAACTTCCTGCTGGATTCCTTCCTTCGGGTCACTCCTTAAGGTGTTGTCTTCGATAATAGGTTCCTGCTGGGTTCACTCCTTAGGGCCTTTGTCTTCGATGAAAAGTTCTTCTTGGATTCACCCCTTAGGGTTTCACCTTGGGCAAAAGGTGCCTGCTGGATTCAGTCCTTAGGGTTTTGTCTTCGGTAATAGGTTCCTGTTGGGTTCACTCCTTAGGGTTTTCCGTCTTCGGTGAAACGTTCTTCTTGGATTCACTCTTTAGGGTTTCATCTCTGGCTAAAGGTTCCTGCTGGATTCACTCCTTAGGGTTTTCGTCTTCGGTACTAGGTTCCTGCTGGGTTTACTCCTTAGGGCCTTCGTCTTCGATGAAAGGTTCTTCTTGGATTCACCCCTTAGGGTTTCTACTTCGGCAAAAGGTTCCTGCTGGATTCACGCCTTAGGGTTTTGTCTTCGGTAACAGGTTCCTGCTGGGTTTACTCCTTAGGGTTTTCCGTCTTCGGTGAAACGTTCTTCTTGGATTCATCCCTTAGGGTTTCATCTCTGGCTAAAGGTTCCTGCTGGATTCACTCCTTTGGGTTTTCGCCTTCGGTAACAGATTCCTGCTGGGTTTACTCCTCAAGGCTTTCGTCTTCGGTGAAAGGTTCTTCTTGGATTCACCCCTTAGGGTTTCACCTTGGGCAAAAAATTCCTGCTGGATTCACTCCTTAGGGTTTTGTCTTCGGTAATAGGTCCCTGCTGGGTTCAGTCCTTAGGGCCTTCGTCTTCGATGAAAGGTTCTTCTTGGATTCACCCCTTAGGGTTTCTACTTCGGCAAAAGGTTCATGCTTAGTATGTAGTATATATAAAATTACATAGAAGACATGATAAAAAAGTATATAGTAAATAACATATAAATTCTGAATGTAAAATATATAGTAAATTAAATATAATATGTTGATATGTAGTATATATATATAATATGTAATATAGAATATATAATATAGAATATAGAATATAGAATATAGAATATAGAATATAAAATATATAATATAGAATATAGAATATA